CACCCGGCACTCTATACGTGTACTTTATATGATACAAACTAGATATGAATTTGTGCTGTAGCATCTATTCACTCGTGCACTGAGACTTACAGCAATCACAAAAAAAGCACAAGAAAAGTACCCACGCGTTCTACCAGGTTTTATTAACGCCACATTGAAACCACTTTTAAAATTGCAACATTTGAGAAGTACCTAAAGCCATTATAGTGTGTAAAATGTGGTTGTTCGGCTTTGCCTTTAAGCAATTGGCATGCACTAGAAAACCTGTAAAATAGGGCTCTGAAGAATCTAGTATAATTTCACCAAGATAATCGTCATTACTGGTGCGTGCTGGCAGATTAAATGCTCGCATGCCTATAATGGAAAGGTATGTACTATAGGGAGGACCATAAACCACATAATGTAGATCCATGTGCATCTTGGGAGCTGTCTATGACGTCACATCTTTGACTTGTTAAGAGCGTACCACTCAGCTGTTATCTCCTCGTCAACTCATCCTTCATTATCTATATCCCCTCGTCTTAATCATTCGACCGTTGGGGCATCACAGATGGTCTGACAACCAGTTTTATCCACCCTTCTTGGTGTTCTTTTCTTTTTCACGTTTTAAGTAATGTCAACCCGGTCCATTCTTTAATATCAATATATACATCCCATTTTTTTCCATTATCTACCCGTCTTTCTTCTTCCCTGTACAATTCTCTGCATCGTGTGGTTTGGCTGGTCCCGATGACCGTGATACGTGGCCATACTACTTCTGAACTCCTGTTTTTATGTTTACCAAAGGAAAACATATTGTTTTTGCTCTGTTTCCTCTTCTTCCAACGAATAAGGTTAATGACCTGAACCAGATACCTATCACCATGGTAACTAGTGTTCTGTTACATCATGTTGCAATTTTATAGCAGGAGGGTTTTAGACTCCTGTACGACCATATGTATGAATGTGTTTGAGTAAGAATTAACAGAGCAGACCATATGCGAAGGTAAACATTATGCATTTGCTTTGCAAATTCTAGTTCTAGTCCTTTCTAGTTCTGTTTATAATAATAAGAGATCTTCGTAAAAACCTAAGCTTTGTTTGTACTTCATCATTAGCGATGCGGCTGTATATGTGATTCCTAGAATCTTCCGGAGGCGTTCTACGTCGTCATCACGCTATAACTCTCCAGAGCTTTCCCCTCCGAGCGTACAGATACGAGCATGCTATCGATTTATGTACTCCCTGGGATGCATATATAGTACATAAAACGTCTCTTACACTGCAGAAAAAGTAGTAACTAGAGTCATTGCCTGGAGGCATATTTCGGAAGCAGACATTTTATATGCACGGTGATGTATGCATTTTTACATCGAAGAGACATGGTAATAACACTCGCACGACCTTGGGGACGTTTGTACATAACTGATAAATCCTTGACCTTCAAGTCACAGTCACGTCAGCGTCCCTCCTGTTCCTGACATCAGCGGAACCGTGAGGAATGTTTGCGTACCTTATGTTCTCCGGTAACGTGACCGCCGGAGGGTAGTCTCCATGTTATTCCCATTGAAGGTGACCGGGCCGCGCTCGCACGATCGCTATCACCCCGCGCGACTTACGACCCGTAATCCCCGGGGCCGCAGAGGTGGCTTCAGAAGATACGCGCTCAGGAATACTTTATTCCGAGATCGGAATTTGCCCAGGCAGCCCGCGGCCATGCAAGGGCAGGCCTGAGTAGGGATAGGGTCAGGACACCTCCAGATGCGCGCTCTGCGATAATACTACATACCGGACCCCACACAAGATGGACAATGTGATAAATTCTCCCCAGCGTCGACGTACGACTTAGAATCTCTCTAGAAGGTTACCGTATCCCGTAATGATACAAATGTGTATAAAATATTTATCCAAGCAATGACATTCGTTCTCTTTGTGTCAAATTATCCAGAAACCAGGGGTGGTTTGGGGCGCATTTGTTTCATCTCTTATCACTACTACTGCTCATTTCCATAGTTTTTACGTCTTTTACAACTCATTTGTTGACTATCTAATCGATCGGGACCCCCTCTCTATTCATACATTACCATCAACAGGTTCCATAACCACCGAGACGCACACTTTCAGCCCCCTCTACTAGTAAATTTCAAATCCTCGGTGGAGAAATTGGAGATTTGTTATCATACATTATGTATCGGGGGCGCTTATCACCCAGCTAGGAGATATCAATTATTTCTTAGGTACAAATCAGGCTGACTTGCGGGCCAAATTCCTCTCTCAGTGCGGAGTTTAGGTCGTGTGGCTGACGGATAGTGCTCGCTACATTAGCATGTATAATCCCACCTCTTCAAATCAATACAACATAGCAGTAAGGGCAGCGAAATGGTTAATTCCGTCCCTAGAAATATTCACCTTAATTCACCGTTGTTTTAATTACGGCAAGTACTGATTCCGTTTTGACAGAAGAGAACCAATCTTCCTGCTGCAGCTTGAAAATAATTCCGATTAATAACCTGAATAATCGCTGCCTGCTCGTTTCCCGACGTCCCCCTCATTAAGCATAACAAATTTGAATTTCCCTCTGATAAGACTACAGTTAAGGGATTGTGCAGTTGTGACTTTCAATGACAAAATAGTTCGTAATGTTGGAGAAATATTAATTTCGTCCAATTTTGTAGGATTCAAAATATTTCAGGTTCACAGAAAGGTGAGAATGCATGATGATATTGAGATGTGGAATATGAAAATCTATGTTAGAATTAAGAATAAAACAATTCAACAACCAGTTGAAATGTCTTGGTAATTTCAACAGTAGAATACTATATTTCTGTTTATTTCTCTTTTCAATAATCCATACAACATGAAATATAGTCATGAGATAGCTGTTGGTGAATAAAAAAGGCGCCGCGATTCCTAGCTGCCATCACCAAAGATCAGCATTTGTACATTTTTAAAATCTCTCTACACTGGAATTCTTACGTATACGCTTTGTTTCTTTCCACAAAATCGTCAACATCCCTACATTCTGTCATTTCCCAATTACAGAAGCCTCTGTAGACAGGAACCGTAGGGCGGTGTGTTTTCAGTCAGACGTGTTGTCGCACGTCACTGCTGACCCTACATGTCCATCTGTGTTTTAAAGCCGTCTCCAGGGCTGTGTAGAACGCACTTCTTTACTCGTAACCCACATCCATGAAGGTCGAAGCGCGAGCTTACAGTTTACAGCCTAATGCATTTTCTAGGACTTTTATTCTGGTGCTCACACTACACTACAGCTATGTCGTGTGGGAAGCAGCTTTACGACTGTTCATTCTCTTAACATCATTGCACGGACTATAACGTGCAGTTTGACTTTATAACATCGCTAGCTGTCGTTTATTGGACGATCGAATCCAGAACACCAGAGAGCTCCTTTCAGTGTGTTGTGAATTATTTAATGCGACGTAATTACCTCGGTAAAAGTGAGTCAACTCTTACTTTGATGTTCTGGCTGTTGTGCTTAATGGAACAAGTGCCGAAAACTTTAGCCGCCAAGCTTTAGGCTTCATTTCGCTAAGTTTAGAAAGCCACATTGAGCAGGCTATTTGTCAAGATGTACTATTCAAATAATTTTTTAAACAAACATCTTATGAGGATGAAATACACAGCAAGCTTAGAAACATTCATTTTATTGGCCCTGGGTTTTATAAGAACTTCATAGGTCCGATAGTTTGAAACATAGAGAACGACCTGTAACGTTTACACATTTTGATATTCAAAAACAAACTTTTCCATGAATCAACAATAGCTATACAAACCTATTGGAGGAAATATACCAGAGGATAGATTTTTCACAATTTTCTTTCATTCATTAAATCTTCATTTTTCTTTTTTTGTGTCTATTTTTTGTCTGTGTTCTACAAACGTTTTAATTTGATATTTGATATGAGAAACGTTTCAATTTTCTAAGTGACACATTTTTTTACCTAGCTATAGTTAGGCCCCAGGCGTCAATCTTACAAGATGTAGGTCTTAGGAGTTCAAACATACGAAAAGGACAGAACTTGTACTGGGTAATGCCAGTATCACAATAGAACCTAGTAGGCAGCGACTACCACACTGTGTCTTCCAAAAATATGTTTAGGTTACATTGGGCACACAATACATGTACAATTGCACTATACAGACTCGGCTTAGAAGGTTCTTGGCCAAAAATCACTTTCAAAACATTGATTCCCCGTCTATTAACCACTCAATCGATCTCTCTCTTTGACACTTCAACAAATCACTCCTTCCGTTCTAGCCAACTCGAGAACAACCTTGGGTCTCTTGTATATCGCTTAGGAATAGAACTCCCATTCCTCACTTAATGTAAGTTACCCTGGACAACGGCCATCTCACATCGACAAACGATAGAAGATTAAGAAGATGCTGCACTACCCAGACAACAACTTCAAAATCAAGGTCCCGTGTTCAAGCGACAATATTCACGCCTGTGTCGCGATCTACAATAATTCACCAGGGAACATGTCAATAGAACTCACAACGAATTGCTAAAGCAGCGAGGCGAGCAACATCTCCATTGTAATGAGTCATATCACAACTTCTGATCTCGACACTGAGAAGCGTATATAAGTACAAACCACCAAAGAGGCAGGGTGAGAAAAGACATAATGGCAACGTTATTTTGTAACTTTTCTTTGCAGAAGATATTTGTGTGACGCTACCCGACATGGTACCCAAATTACATGTACATAGGCTGAAAACTATCGCAAAAAGTACGAAGCAAAAGCACTGTTCGACTTTCGTCAACACCGGGTATCCAGTGCTGAAGAAGTTTGAACCATTGAACATCAGCGCTGAAGGCGTGGCTTTCTCAGACTTGCTACAAACCTTGGCTACAACAGAATGCCGACCAAACAACAATAAAATATCTCACTGCTCGTGTTGACCTGCCACACTGCGGTGCAACAGGCTAAGGAGACGCAAATTGCATCCTACCGATCCCCCCGATATAACACAGGTAGCATTGGCCTGTTACCAACTCATCGGCCGGTTTCCAGTTTCAGGTCGGTAACAAAACCGTTCATCTGTTCGTCCATGCTCTCTCCGGAGACAGACGATGTGACGTCACTCTCCATCTCCAAGGAAGCTTTCCCTTCAGACCCCTCTGCGTCCCCTAACGTGATCTGGCCCCCCTCCCCCTCCCGGTCCGGGTCCTGCAGGTATATCGTGTTGTCGTGCTGCAGACTGGCGTGCTGCAGGAGTTCCCACGGGCTGCTGCAGGGCTGGCCGCACTCCGCACAGGACAGCGACGCGGGAGGCTGGTCACCTGTAAGAAAAAATGGGGCAAAATGACGGTTTTTAGTGGCAACTTTGTTCCACCAAATCGATAGTCCCCATCAATATTAGGACACTTTTAGCCGAGAACCTGGGGGGGGGGGTCTAGAAGGAAAGTCGTGTGTGTCTTCACAATTGCGTGCTTTACTATTCTCTGACTTAACAGCATGCTTTGATTGACCAAAAAGATTCTTTTACCAGACACAGTCACCAATACCAGTATCGTGTTAACTCCATTCACTTCATGTAAGTTCAGGCATTATCATCATTGTCGCATTCAGCTAAAACTGAACTGTCTTTGCAATTCTCTGTCTCCTACCTGCTAAGCCGTTGCACCCCTTTGCTACAGTGCTTTTCCCATTGACCTATCTGCAAGTTTATGTACCGGAAGACACTCCCGGCCACTTCTTGATGGAGTTTCTGAGCATCTTACGTCCGGTTTCATAGCTACTGTAACAGTAAAAGTTTATTACCTGCGAAGTCGTCTACTTTGAGGTCCTTTTTCCTGCAGCCGCAGGTGACGTGAGGTCTGCAGCCCACCAGTTTATGGTGCTGGAGCCGGTGGATGTTTGAGAAGAGCCGCTTGCACCGTCCGCAAATAAGAATGTCCCCGTCATCTGTGGAAACAGTCATTATTGTACTGTGTGTAATGACGTGAACAGGCATTGTTCTTGAAAAAAAATCCAGGTTTTCAGTCAATGAAAAAGGTCGCTAATTACATAGAGAATGGACCCGAGTAAGCTGACATAGTGCAAGCAGCAATATCGATGATGGTTATCATCTTATCTTATGGCAGTAGTGTGTAAAAAAAACTTTGGGAAAAATCTATGCAAAACTATTTTATAGAAAGAAATACCAGTTTGCCATGCTAGCCCATGTATCCTAAGATGATCAATTCTTGATCACCTTAGAATTGGCTCATCTTCCAGGCTACATTCCAATACACCGAGCCATAAATGTACATCACACTTAGCAGTTCAACCAATGAGAGACGCGCAATTATCGGTCCGACCAATGAGAGAGTGACTGAATGTCCGTCAACAAATATTTGCATTTCCATGTTTTGACGAAGGTTGGCGGGGCATGCCATCACACTTAGCAGCTCAACCAATGAGAGAATTGTAATTAGCGGTTCGACCAATGAATGGGGGGCTGCATGTCAAGTATTTGCATTTCTATGTTTTCACAGAGGTGGGTGGGGGGGGGGGGGCTTCAGGACGGTCTTCTGCCAACTACGTAGATACCTACTTGACATGTTCGTGTGTCGAATCATGCGACTCTGGCTTCTCCGCATGGCCACCGCCAGAGGAGGACCAAGGCGTGGCCGCTTGGGGATCGCCGGACCAATCAGCAGCGGCGGCGGAGGCCCGTGGTCGTGGAAACCGTGAGATGGTGCGAACCTTGAAGCCAAAGAAAGAAAGAAAGAAAGAGATACATATCTGATACATTCATCTTCTAATCGTGAGTATAGATCTACAAGGCTCAGGGCATGACCTTGCCGTGGGTTTGAATTCTCATATAGCCGTTTATCATAATCATGTCTATCCTACATTATACTCATCACCAGTAATAGCAACTGTGGTATTTGATACAGGGTTTTACAATGTACGTTTGGTCTTGTTATTGTCATAGATATTGGCAGATACAGTCCCTTTAGATACAGTCATGGATTGGTCCTAGATAGTCAGCGATGCGTGGGCCTGTGGTCTTTGCGTCAGCGAAACATAATATTCTAGTTTTACGAGGTGGTCCTAGATATATATCTCTCGGTCGGTACCGTTACCATGGTATTGTTGCTTTTAAAGTGTGTCTTTTACGACTGAGTGGCGTGTGTGAGAGATATCAATCGCGTGTTCTAACAAGAAGTAAAACCCAGATACACACTACAGTGTACCAAGTATCGAGAAATCATGTTTCGTATATTCCCTTAACTTCAATAAAAGCCACAGATTGTGAACGTTAGTTACTGTACAAAGATCTTAGCTCGTAGATTTTAAATTCTGAAATTGCCACATACCTGCACGCCGGTCTTCCTGGGGGACACAACTCATACATGAAGCACAGCGGAGGCTTGTACGCTATGTGCCCATTTATGGCGGGATGTTTTCTGCAAGACATTTACGACACAGTTATGGGCACATGATTCACCGAGCCTTCACGTCAACGTACATTGGCTACTTGTTAGCAACTTTATACTATATAGAAACGGCTCATCTACGTCAGGCATTTTCAGGACTGCAGTCCTTTTTCTATCATATTTGATTTATTCAGACCGTGCCAATTTAAATAATTGTTTCCCGTATATTATAAATCAAGATTTTCAGAACAGTGTGTCATAGAAAGTAAGAAAATATTTGGAGAAAAAATTTAAAATGAGTACACTGAACCTTGAACATGTATGTTGCAAGGTATGGCCTCCCCCCCCCCCCCCCGACTCATGTTTTCAACTTTATCTTTCGGTCCAGCATCGTCTTAGTAGCGTCGAAGATGGCAAAATGTTACGTGCTTGGGAAAGGCACTTTACAAGACTTTCCTCACTCAATCCAGGTGCAAAATAGGTACGTGACTTCGGTTGGGGATGTAAAAGGCTGTGGAAGGAGAGGGATGGGCTCTACCTTCCAACACCATACCCTAGACACAGTACGTTAACGACCCACTGTCCCTACGTATACGGCCTGAAAAAAAATCTATGAGAGTACTTTTACCTGTCTTCAAAATCCAAGAACCAACAGCTGAAATTGATGTGGCCGTAGAAAAGAATGATAAGCTTCTAACTGTTACTGCAGAGTCTCTACCCACAGTGATAACGTTTCTGTGACGTCAGCACAAACCGTTAACAAATCAGCCAATCAGCAATACAAGGTGAAACAGCGGTGAATACACTAGTACTTCATGTGGAGTTGCCTTCACTTGAAGTTGCCTTCACTTGAGTAGAATAAATGGCAATGACAATGACAATGAAGTTTATTGCCTGTCCATGCCCAACGGGGGCTAAATGTATTTTTATAGATACTTCAAATTTAATACGATACATGACTTGATATCATGACTATATCTATATCTAGAATATTCTTCTCTTTTTGTAAGTGTGTAGACGAATTCACAGTTTCTTTTCAATTATATCGTAGCTAGATAATAACATTACGTATGTAAATATTTCGTCCTTTGTTATATGTGTATATTTTTTTGTCTAGATGTATGTCACTAAACAGGTAATCATGTATCTTTGTATAGTGGGCTCTAATTTCTAGAATAACTTTTTCTTGATTTTCAATACACAAATGGGCAGAACTTTAGCAATTGTGTATTAATCTATGAAACAACAGACGTACCTTAAGTGGGGTGAGGGAGGAGACGGTCTGGATTTCTGTCCTTGCTTTGGTCTGTTCGTTTTTGGCTCCGATACCAGGTTGCAATCTGAGGAAGTCACAGAAAACATCATGTCATTGATCCATGCTACGGAAATATTTACACACTTCCAACGCCCAATTCGAGAGAATGAGAATAGATGAGAAGCATCCCAGAGACACATCCTTGCCATAAAATACTGCAAAATAGCATTCCATTGAAGTAATTATGATATTCATGGCAAAATGTACTTGTTCCTATACTATGGTATAAATGAGTAGTTTACGGCGTTAGATGCAGACTTAGATTTAGATATGGAACTTTCTCAAATGATTTCTTCAGGTCCAAACCAATACGTTACACGGGCATTAAACATGGCATCATGTGGTGTTTTAACTGTGTATATACCCAGCATAATGCTTCTTACGAAAAGCACGGTTTTATGTAGAAAACTTCCATAAAACGTGCTTGCACAGCTGGTGCCGCGCGTCCTTTATGAATTATTTCTGTGGTTTGAAATAGCATCATTTTACTGGCGAGTGCCAGTAACTGTATATTGTGTTTTTCGGCTTTAAAAAAGGTGCAGTTGTACTGAATAGTGTCAGTGACCTCCATTTACTTATCTATCAAATTTGATGCAGGCATACCTCATCACCATATTGATTGTTTTCTAGGCTCCGTTTGTATTTATATACATATTTGTATACATAGTAACATCGATTGCATTTATGAAATGTTTACATATAGGCATAACGTCCCTTGAGTTTTATATTTCTACAGTGGCGTCCTTCGTTCTCTTTGCCATTAAGAATTTATCAAATGGTTCTGGGAAAATACTCTTGGTAGATGTGGATAAACCATTGTAGACAGCGTCAACTGGTGAATTTTGAGAAGTTGTAATTTATGTTAAAGAAGGCTTACGTTACAGACATCTAGAAATACTCGCATTGATAATCATGTTCATTAGTAGAAGTAAGATAAGATAAGGAATTTGTGTTTACATTCTTAATTGTGAATTTAGCCAGATTATGAACATTAGTACAAGTCAGATAAGGAATCGTAATTCTCCTGTTTTTCCGTAGCGCGCACGGGAATTCTTTCGGACCTCGTATCTACAGTTATTTCCCACGGCTGCCGTAGGAAGCAAATTTCCACCCACCATCCTGTCAGCTTTATTACTTTTCTGGGGTTTCGATGGTCAGATATGTCATTTTTATTATTTCTGACTGTATTTTACACATGGCTATGACGAAAAAAATGATAACTGCGTTCCTATTCTCTCCATTCATTATCTGTTAATCAATGACCAACGACCATACAACACAAGTTATACAAGTTCAAGGGCGTTTTCATTTTACTATGTTGCTCAAGAACTTACTATGAATTCTCTTTTAACTGTCTATGATAACTCCGAGAGTTTTGTAACGTAGACTCCGTGGCGACAGTGTATCAGGATACCACGGTTTACAAGTTACGCCAAACTTGGTCATTTGTATTCTTCCCTTGTAGTCTTTTATCCGGCGTACATTGTCATGACAATACCGATGTAGGTAGAAGTACAGGCTGACGGATACATCCCGTACACGTCTGTGGAGAGTCAGACATCTCGGGATCGGCAGGCGGAACTCCCACGACGTGTTCCCCGCGATAGCCACCAGAGGAGGCCGCCAACTTTCTCTCTGATGCCACATAAAAGGCTCCGGAGAGCTTTGGGGATTTGGGACTTTGTGTGGTTCAAAATCCCCTCTGACAAAGATATCGCTTCTGTTGAGTTGGCAGGCTCCCCATTTGAGCAAGCTTTGGGCAAGTCAATCTGACCATGTCTTGTATCGAGGATCTATACCGTGTCTGTATATACAGTATAGTTATGTTTACTAAGAGAGGAGGTTACAGAATGTCAAAACATGCGGTTTCTCATCCCTTTTCTTCACCAACACTTAGATGTCTTTCTTGGTCCTACGTTTACAATCTACTTCTATACCTTCCCTATCAATACTGGAGGATGAGGCGGTGCCAGCTGCAATATACATCTTTTTCTACAGGCATTTACACATTAGCCATAATATAAGATCTACAACATTGATACTGATTCAACTGTCTATCCAATACTTTTCTGTTTGATGCTTTAGGCAACATTCGAGGTATTCAGTGAAAGTTTGTACTGCCATACCAACTTGGCTGTTAAAATTATTGCCTGACAGTCGAAGGCTTAATGACCTACGCATTCCAGAATACATACTGATAAATGACTCTGGCCATATGCTTTATTGCACTTCTCAGTTGTAATCAGGCAACTTTCATATCGACATTACATAGTGTACGTTTTTATGTGTATATTGAACTTTACTGTAGTGAACTTTACCATATATATGCTCTTCTCTTCTTGGCAAGGGCACTCGTGGTCTTTTCTCATTTATCACTGACAATGAATGATAAATTGTTAGTCAAGTATGAAGGACTCGCGAAATAGAGTGTTCGCTTGCACATTGACGCACTATAGTTGTAGGACTGTAATATGCTTACACACAACACACACACACACACACACACACACACACACACACACACACACACACATACACTCACTCACTCACACACACACACACACACATACACACACACACACACACACATACACACACACACACATAATGCTTCTTTACATGGCAATATCATGCTATGACAAGTTGTGTTATGTTACATTAAAGTTATATTACATTATGATATGTAGGTGCACGATATATTACGCTGTAATTCCCTTTGTTAGCGAGTAATCGTTATCCTTAAGTGCACTTGACCTTGTACCCTGTGACTCATCTATACGTTTTACTTGATGAACATCAACACAACGACATTTTCTGCCTCCCGATATTCACCATAATCACGATACAAAGTACATAAGTTACAACCACAAATCCTCCCTAACAAAGACTAAACAAACTCCAAATTAACTGATGGTATCAACGCCTGTATTTTACGGCAGATG